ATTTGGGTTGCTCTCTAGTTTGTGAGGGAGCTGAAATGTAGGCAATGGATTGTATCAGACAGAGCATGGGGCGTGTTCCCAACCTGTACACGTATTAGTGACCTTGCCCCAGTGTTGTGGGACTCGGGGCTCTGAGGAGGGCAGGAGTCACTCCGACACGACTGGGAGCCACGGATAAACCTCGTTGGTGCTTGCTGTTGGCACGCAGGCACTGGTGCCCTCTGTGTCCCTATAGCATGGAGGGGCTGCCAGTAAGTGCAGCATTAGGCGGCAGAGCCATGGGAAGAGGCTCTTTATTTCAAGGTTTCAGCTTTTCAAAACACAAAAGGACATGCTTGAAATTCATTTCTTCATGCTGATCCTGGGAGTCTTCCATAACCTTGAAATTTGGCTCTCTCCTTAGCTTTCCCCACTTGCTCTGTGCCTGTACAGAGCCGCTCACCAAGCCCTGCCGCACACCGGCACCAGTACCTGCCGCGGGGCTGGAGGTGCCCGGGTCAGCAGCTGCTTTGCAAGGAGCATCACGGCCAGCCCAGGCACTCCCCGTCTCCCGCAGCCACAGCAGCTTTGCAGTGTGTAGGCACCGGCTGGCTGAGGCATTGGCCGTGGTAGCAAAGAAGCCTCAAGAATTAAGGTGGTATTTGGTATTTCATGTATGCCCATAATTTATGAATGACACAAACACTCCCACCCGGCTTGCAACAGCAAGGCTTTAGGCTGTTTCCCCTCGTATAATGAGCTATTCTGACCCGTTAACCCTCTCCAGGCCCTTGGGCGTTTGCTCGTTCATTTTGCTTTTCACCTCTCGCAGGAGATATAAACACGGCCTGAGCAGCAAAATCTTCCCGGCCAGGGCAGCGCCTGTTTTTGTAACAGCAACTGTATCGCCTCTACGATTTGCTGCTCCTGCAGGCCCTGGATGGCGGAAGAGGTCAGAGACTGAAGTTAATGTGTGTGGGGAGAGAAAGGGCATCTGCCCGTTATCGCCCTGTTTCAGTACCACACACGGGAGCGAGGGTGTGCGGTTCACCACTGACCCCACAAACTACAAGGAGAGAAAGCACCAGACAGGGAGATACTTGCAAATCCCCACGAATGCCCTAGTTGCTGCGGGTGGGCTCAGCGCTGAGCATCCATCACCCCGTCGCCCTCCTCCTTGCCGTTCCCTGTCTGTGAATTCGTTACCTCTGAAGTGCTTCTCCAGCAACTGCAGCCCCGGCGCTCACGAGACACGTAACCCCCCCAACCCACACCCAGGTTGGTGCAACGTCTCAGGGGTTCTCATCCCGTAACAGGCTTAGCGGCAGTAAGGCTTTGGATCAGAGGGGTTTGTAGTCGCAGCTTTGAACATGTGTAAAATGAGATGTGTGTGGAGCCTTAGCACATAGGGAGAGCCCGGCTGCTAGAAGGAAACGGCAGCATCTCCTGCCGTCTCCTGCACAACCACCCACGTTCCCCTGCAGCTGCCCTCTCCTCCACACACCCCACCTCTTCCCTCCCCACACCCCTCTTGCCGTCGCTGAAATCTCTGCCACCCCCTCACGTAGCACATGCCTCCTCGTTTCCATCTGACAGCAAGGATTTCAGTAGTGTTTCTTGCTCCATTTCGTATTTTAAAGGAAGCAGCCACCCCTCCTTCCCTTTATCTTCTAATTCTTCCCTAATAAATACGATCACTTCATCCTGCGAGACCTGAAAACCCATTTCCAAAATTCCCCTGGCAACTAATACAGTAAAACAAGCCTATAAATATAAATAATTATGATAAAAAGGCATAAAATGCCAGACTTGGGTCAAACATACTCACACAGTGACACTAGCAACAAATAACTACACAGTGTTTGAATGCAGATGGAAAAAGCTGAATACAGAGTGGCTAGTTTGTTGCTCGTAACTGTCAAGACTCCTAATTCGGACAGGCCATATTTTATTGATAGCAGAGCAAACACAGTCATAATCCATCCCTACCTTTCCTGCTTTGTGAAAAATCCCATCCATCCCCAGGGAAGCAGTGATGGAAAAAACAGTGATGTGAACGTGAGGTGAAAGTATAAGACAGAAAGCACAGTCCCAGGCTGTGTTTCCCACGTGTTGCTCGCACATCATATGCTAAGTTCAATTTTCCAAAAGCTTTGTTTTATTTTTAAAGGTAACATCTTTATTATTATTATTATATTTATTAGTTGTTATCATTATTATTATGCAGAGATGAGATATTTTTTTCCCCCTTTGATCACAGAGCAAACAGTTTGCTTTTGCAAATGTTAATGGAGTCCTGATTTAAAACATTTTTTTCTTCACTTTTTTGTTGTTTTTGTTTTTTAAAACGTTGCAACAGGCAGGATCTGGGGTTCGATTTCCTCGTCCTACACAAAGAAAGATTGTGGAGTTCGGACTCCTAGCCACTACCGGTAGGTCCTGCCTTGCTCAGTTGTCGTCGTCTCAGTGTGATTTCGCCAGGTGGGGTGGGTAGGTGGGTGGGAGGGGAAGAGTTGGAAGAAGGGAGGGTTTTTGTCAGCTATGTCGAGTCTTGATTAACAACTTTGCCTCCATTCATGGTTGGTGTCCCTGAACTTTTTCTTGAGCGTCCTTGTTTTTCTCCAATTTCATGCAGCGATGGCTCTCTGTACATGCACACTGCAAACAGAAAAGACACCCATTAACAGCCCTGAAGTCACAGGGTCACATTAGTGACCATAATGAATTATTTCTTTGTATGTGAGGCTGAAATTCTAGCCCCAATACAAACACACACACACACACACTTACAGAAACCTCAGTGACCCAGCAGAAGATCCTGTTACCGAGCAGGATCTGTTACCTGTCCTCGCGGCCGGTCAGCTCCTCCTTCTGTCTCTGGATCCTTCCAAAGGCACAGATAGAAACAGGGGTCTTCTCCTTTCTCACAGAGAAGTCTTTCTAGGTTTTCTGTGCTTTACTGTTTTTTCATGTTATATTCATATACATATAAAATAAACACTGCAGTTCACAGCACCGTGTATTGTCTCGAGATGCTGATTATCATCTAATAACAGGCCCAAGAATTATCCAGTCCCCTCCAACACGAAGCCCTTCAGAGTCTGGAATCAAAGCTACGCTTGCATCTGAGCCATCCAAGCCTTCTGGGTATTAAGCTCTGGATCTGGAAGTGGTGACTCAAGCCCATTTGGCTCCTTCAGCCAAGAGCTGAGGTCTGCTCTCAGCACTTCTTATTTTTTTCCCCTCTAAATCAAGACAGCCAGCCAAGGCCATGACCAGACACATGGGGGTGAGTTCAGTGACAACAAGCCAGGAGCCATCTCAGCTCCGCATGGTCACCTGGTAGCACCTGAGAACAAGGTGGATGAAGGGCACCTTGTCTCCAGACTCTGGCTAAGCAATGTGTGTCCTATAAAAATGTACTTGCTGGAGCCTAGACAGCCTGAGAAGGCAACGTCTGCCCAAGACATGGCACATCCCACGTCCTGTGCAGCATAAAGCATTTATCCAACTCACCATGTGGACTAAGTCCTCATGGCTGTCCTCATGCCACGTGAGGTGTGCCAGCACAGGGGCACATGCTGAGAGGCTCAGCGTCTCACACCAAAGGGAACATCTCTGATGAGCTCATCGCAAATGTGGCGGGGTGTAGATGTGATTGAAATAGTGAGGCATCTCAAGGGCAGGCACATTGGAGTTGAGAACTTGAGGGAGGTCCAGGCCGCAAATGTCATGCCCGGATCTTTGCAAAAATTAGGATAGAAAGAAATGATTGTGTACTGCTTTATTTTGTAAAGCTGTCACGTCACAAGCAACGGCACAGAGCTTAAACACAGGGGATAGAGCCCATCAGGTTTTGGTTCTGGGTAAACAACAAGAACAAAATTTCAAAAATTATCTGAAGAAATGAAAAAAATACCCCATGTATAAAAAGGCAATGTAAGCGCTTATATTTATAATCTCCCCTGATCTGCAAATAAATCCTGGCAATTAGAGGCAGGCTGCAAATAAAATTATTGCTCTGCATTTCACTCCTAGCTAGATAAACAGTTATAGCAGTGTGCAACAATACAGGACAGAGATAAAGTGCAGTCAACTGTGTATTAATAGGATGGATATTGCATTGAATATATGAGCAGTGAAAAAATATTACTTTTCCCATAGAGCATTTTTCATGCAAGGCTTTCAAAGCAATTTAAACACACACACACTAGCTGGGCCTCCCAGCGTGGCTGCAAGGCAGGTACTGCTCTGCAAACTGTTATTGCTACTGGAGCCATTTTTTGATGAAAATGAGAAAAAAAGGGAAAATGAATGACTTGTCCCATGGGCCTGCGCCAGGATGGGCAATGCCAGGACTGCCCGTCAGCTGCCCAGACTATCAGTGCTGTCTGCATGCTGCAAGGAAAGTGTGTAGCATGGTGGCAACAGAAGGAAAAGGGATCTCACGTACCCGCTCAGCTGCTGAGCTGCCCCTCATACCTTGGTGAGTGTCACTTAACAACCCGCTGATGGTGAATTTGCCTGTTGTGGCTAAGTACCTAACAAAATCTTAAAGAACAGTATGAAAAGATTAACAACTGAGGAAAACCTGTGCCCTTGTGGTTTCTTAGCGTGAGTTGCAGAGCCTTTTGATGACACTGAGGATGCACATCACTTCTGTGACTGACCTTACCTCTGACGTGATGTTTGCCCAGCAGAGTTGGGTATTTGTGCCAGCACTGCCCCAGTGCCCCTGATGTCCCATACACACAGTTCTGCCTCAAGTGCAGTGCTGTCTTCACCCTGACCTCTCTGATCCCAAGCTGGAGCTGGAGGGACCTCCGTGAGCTCTTGCCCCAGGCAGCTGCACGTACTAAGCTCATCTTACCTGCATCCATCCCCAATACCCCATTGGGCTGGGCCAGGTGCTTAATCACAAGGGCTGAGCCTGAGCGAAGCCCACAGCAGCAGCACCACAGCACGTTGCCTTTCTTCAGCTCCCTGCCTCTCACCATGGCCTTTGGGCAAAATCGTTGAGCTGCTAACAAGGCCCACAGAGTAATGAATATAAATCAGGCCACAGAAGTAAACAACATTTGCAGCTAAAAATTAAGGAAACCCTGTACTTAGCAAGCAAATAGGGCAGGAATTATGAGTTTATCTTCCAGTCTAGTGCATGATACAAGTACTGACATGGGGCATGGCTGGAGGCTGCTCACATTGTGCTTTTCAGACAGAGCTGTCAAAGCCTCTGTACCAGACAGGCTGTGCCAACAGACCATGCCAGAAAATCTGTAGCAGCATAGGACAAGTGTATTTTCAGTATTTACATACACCTACAGTATCAGTGCACACAGTATTTATATGGCATCATGCACAAGACAGTGCCTGGATATCCTCCTACACAAGAGGCTTGTGCACATGTGCTGATCTACGGCCATTGCTCAGCGGCGGCTGCAAACCCGCGGGCACCGCAACACGCAGGTGTGTGCACACAGACACAAGGGTGTGTACGCACACAGCCGCACACGCATGGCATTTTAAGGACAGTGTGACATGTTGTGCAACACAATCTCTTGGATTGCAGTTTGTTACTCCTTGTACCGAGGAAGCTTGAGTGAGTCACGCGCGGAGATGTTAGTCATGGACCAGGGAGGGGGGGTGTTTGCAAATGGACCATTGTGAGTGCCCAGATCTTCCCAGCTTTAAACTAAATCTTTGTGGTTCAGGACCAGCACTCACTGACAGGTCTGTTCGGGGTCCCTGCGTGTGCATGTGCGTGTGGAGACATACTGTCCCTGTCACCTGCATCAAGGTAAGCCAGCAGCAGTGTGATAGTCGGCATGCCCAGGCGCTTGGGAGGTCTGCTGGTGCACACAGCACAAGGCAGTTTTGGAAGGATGAGCAATTTGTGTAGAACAAGAGTCCCTTCCCTGCTTTGCCTTGCTTCTCCCACCCACCCACACCCACACACCAAGCCAAATACAGCCCTTAATGTCTGGAAACCAAGCTAATGCTTTGGAGCTTCAATCAGATAATCAGCTCCTATGTCCCAGATTCAATCAACACATCCATATTCATGCTTTAATTGGAAAGTGCCCTTAGCTTGATCTGCTGAGGAGCCACAGGCATAAATGGAAGGGGGTGAGCGGCAGTGGAGCTGTGCCGATGTCTGGTTCTTGCGGCTTTCGATTCCCTGCTTCCCTCCTAACCAGCAGTGCCTACCATCCGAACGCACAAGGAAACAATTTTGCACAAAGAAACAACGCGCAAATTAGGCAGGAAGGAGACTGGAGGTGCAAGCAAGGGGGGAGGGGGCGGTGGGGAGCATCCTTCCTGAAGGCGAAGGCATGGAGGGGGCTGCCTGTCACCCAAGAACAGCTCCATCTCTCGCCTATGCGCTGGCACAGGATCCCAGCCTCATTTCTGCTTCCCAGGCATGGCACTGGCACACCACCCACACGGTGGAACCGAAATCACCCTGTGCGGCTTCCCTGGGCTGAGTTTGGAAAGCAGGCACCATTTTGTGTCCTGATCCTAGCATTTCTCACTTGGCATCGCTGCAAGCTGAGGAGGTTCAGAGGATGCAACAAACTCCATTTCCCCTCTCTACAATACGGGGAAAAGCTTATTAAAGGACCTTAGATATATCCCATCCATCCAGCTTCACTCCTGGCTTTCCCTGCCCCAGACCCTAGCGAGTGAGGAGGAACCAAATTTTTCTCAAGTTGCTGTTTAAGCAGGTAGGCAGGTCGTTAGCCCGGCAGGATCGCAACGCGCCCCGACAGCAGCCTGGACCGGTGTCTGGGCAGGGCTGGGCACACAGCCTCTGGCAGGCAGCCCGGGAGACGGCCCCTATCCCTTGACGGATGCCACAGCTCAGGGTGTCGGTATCTGCAGTAGCGGCTGCATTAGCTAATGCTTCGGTGGAGAGAATTAATTGTCTGAGCAGCAGCTAGGGGCAGGAGGGAGGAAGTGATTATGCATCCTCGTTTTCTGCCTCTAATTACTGTGTTCTAAACCCGGTCCCAGCTGATGCATTTCAGAGGCATTTGAGCTCACGTCTATCTGGCGGCTAAATGTGCAGGATGCTGCCAGATGGAATCACAGTTTGTTCAGGTAAGAAACACAGCACAGGATGACAAAAAGCCAAGCAAAAGCATGGTTAAAATACATTGCATTTGCCATCTAATAAGATGATTAGGAGTTTGATAGATGAACAAGTGAGTTAGTGTGGGATTGAAAACATACCAAAGCCTGCTCACTTGAAAGACAGACCCAAAAGAGGAACTGTGTTAACAAAGACTGATAAAGAGTGTGGGGTTTGTCTTTTTTTTTAAAAAAAGAACACTTTTTAGCATGTTTTGTGGATTAAGGTGATACCTTTGAAGCATTTTCACTAGGCCTATCACATCTTCCTACTCAACAGTGTCTTGTACTTCTTTGCAACATCTGAGGACGCCGCTTTAGCAAAACTGGGATGTTGCATCCCTGGGAAAACACACTGGGAAAGATCTGGTTGCTGTTCCTTGCACACGGATATTCACCAGTGGTAATAAATGGATCAGACTAGTCATTAACAGGTCACCTTCATATCTGATATGTGTTCATTTCATGAGGGCTGAAGCAGTGTGAGTTTGGAGTTAGGGGCAGCTCTGCTGACGCAGATGGAGGAAGAGTTGTCTTCTGCTTTCTGCGGCCAGATTTGCCACCCCAAATGCGTTCTGGCTTGGGCCGGGTGAAAGATGAAATGTAGCTCTTTTGGGAGAGCAATCTGGAAATGATGTCTTCAGGGAGAAGGAAATACAAGTAACAGAGCACATCCACAATAAGCATCTGACAAAATTCTTACTTAAGTGACTGGAAAGGTCTCCCATTGTTTGAGATGGGTTTGGATATTTAAAAGAACAAGAGGCGCTGTGGACGGTAGTGTTTGTCCAGCACTAATCACTACAGACACTTAGAGAGACTGAAATTGCTTTAAAAGATTGCTTGGTGTCCAAGCGACAATTATACTCAAGCTAATTTCTTGTGCAGTCTGGTTCAATCTATATGTCTGCACTTTAAGGGCTTATTTAGCTCGAATTATCAGTGATCAGAAATAAAAATATCAAAAGAAATGTGTTGCGTATGTGTGTTTTTAACCAAAACTGGCACCACACAGTACATTAACTGCTGCCTGCCAGGCTGTTTGCCTTGGCTTTGCCTGTGCACAGATGGGAGAGGAACTTAATGTTTCCCCTGTTATTACTTAGTAAGTTTTTTGTGCTTTCATATTGATTAAGCTTACTGCTCTTTCAAAAAACAAACAAATCCTACCTACACTAAACCAAAAAACCCCTCCTACCAACCAAAACCAAAACTTTTCCAGTTGGTATCTAATGACTTTCGCACAGAACACCTCCAGCATCCTGATGACCTACAAGAGTCAAAACACTCTGTGGGATTAGCACAGCATAAAGCTGTAGCTGCTAAAAGCCATAAATAACAGACATACGTACACAGATACCACTGTATATATATGCACATGGACACATATGTAGTCCTTAGAAATTATCTGGGAGGATATTTCATATTTATTTATTAGTTTACTGCCCATTTGCAACTCCGAGGAGAGGACTTCTGAATTCAGAAAGCAGTATGAAGCAACGGGATTCAAATGAGCTCCGGGACCAATCTGGGCTTTTTTGTGTTGCCTTTCCCTGTGAACACTCTCTTCACTAAGCTGCTGCATAATTCTTCTGCACACGGCAAACTGGGAAGTTTCATCTCAGAGATAATTGCCATTGAAGTGGTGGGTGAAGTGATTCCTAGCAATGTATGTAACACCTCTCCTTCCCAGGGGACCAGATTCCTCCTTGCATACATTACTGTGTCAGCCATCGTGTGGCAGGGCTAACACTGGTGGTGGCACCGGAGCAAAAGGAAACCTGGGTGTGTTACTGCGGATGGAAGCTGCAAAGTACCGGCCTGAATAAGCAGCAAAGCCCACACGCTGGAGCGTGCCACAGTGTTTAGCAGAAGGGACATGCAAATATAGCAGGGGAGTGCTTTGAACACTTCCTTAGAGTCATGACAAAGAGAAAGAAGCTGTTAAAACAGGGAAGGAATTGCCCCTTTTCTGTAACATCTCTGCTTGCAAGCTCTGCTTGCGGAGACTTTGATGGATGCAGCACAGAGAAGTCACGTGGATCTGAGAGCGTTTTACTCCAATCCTCCCCACAAGCCTCTGCTACCTACAATGAATCTTAGGCTTGGGAACAGAGTCCTCCGTCTGGAGTCACAGTCCCAGACAGCTGAATGCTTTGGGAAGCTGACACGTGCCTTGGCTTGGGAGACTGCCAGCTCTTTGATGCAGCAGCACTCACAGAGGCTGACTGCAAAGCATGTGGAGGAGGGAAGGGGTGGAGGAGCCCTTAATTTGGCTGCCAACTTCCAAAGTGCTCACTCGCTCGGGAGGTTATGTGACAGCTGTGATTGAAGCAAGCGTGGGAGGATACAACTGCAGGAAAGGGAAGCTCTCGGGCTGGGCTGGGTTTTTCAAAATGAAAGCCAGAGCGGCATTTGCTGCAATGAGAACTCCGCTGTGGGTCAGGCACCTCTATTAAGGCAAGGCTTTCCACAAGGAGAGCCACAGGAATGGCCTAGTTTAATGCATGCAGAAGACAACTATTGAGCCATTCAGCAGACGCCATGCACGCTACGTCAGAAAAGATGCCTGGATTCAAAGGAACCCAGTGATCAGTGCCAACACCCAGCCAGGCAGCAAAGAAATACCAGGAGGAGCTGGAAACCCAGCTGTGAAAGCTAGCGCTTGCCAAAGACTCTCCTCCCAGCCAAGGCAGGAGAGGAGGGGACAGAAGAGAAGCTGGTGATCTACCCCATGCCTGAAGCAGGACCTGTTCCTTAGCAAAACTCGATGAGGGCTTAGGGCACCAATCCCACTAATGCCTCAGATAAACAAGAAAAGGCTGCCAGCTGCAGAAAAACTGTTGAAAGCAAGCAGAGGACAAGAGGCTCCAGGCTGTTTTCTGCTCTTCCAACATCTCTATCTCCTGTGCAAAGGCTGCAGATACTCCGGGAATGCTGAGCTGAATTTCCCTCATTGTGCTTTGCTTCAGTGGCACAACAGATGATTTCAGCCTGCCTTCCTGAACTGTCCGTTCACTCACACATACATGCACATTCGTCTGTCCCTGTGCCTTAGCTGGGAAGCTGTTAAAACAGCTGCTAGTGCATGGACTTAGCTGTGGCCTCCACCACTTGTGAGTGGTACCTGTCAGGAAAGCATCGGTTCATTCCTTCTCTCCACGCGTCCAGCCCTGACCCCACAGCCAACATGGGGGTAGCGAGAAGGGGCATGGAGCTGTGCAGCCGAGGCCAGCCCCAGGCTGCTGTCCCCCTGAGGTGGCCACTGACAGGTCCGAGATGGGGTCAGAAAGGCATACCTAGTTTGGGGATAGAAAAGTAGTGCTGTTTCCAAGCCAGAGAAAAAAAGAGGTCTCCTTGTTTCCAAAATCACGCTAGTACCTGTTCAGTACTAGGCTCATCACACCACATCTCTCCGTTATCAGGGGCCAGCTCATAAAAAGCAAAATGCCCTGGCACAAGGCTGTGGCACATTTCAGTAGTGTACAGTCAGCAGCAGGAGGGCAAAACTTCAACTCCATGACTTTCACTCAGGCTGTGATGAAGACGTATGGCATGAGAGCATCTCATCTAACTTTGGACACCTATGGTAGAGGTTTCTCTACCCCCAGTGACTAACTAGGATGTCTTTACAAATGAGAAAAAAACAGATTTAAGTCATCTTAGGGTAGACATATAAAGTACATCCACAGCTGTGCTGGTAGGACCCATTTCTCTCCTGTTACTATAAACAGAGTCTCAAAGTCTAAAATCAGGTGAGATAAATCCTGTCTCTACTGACTCTACATGGGACTGGAAACCCACTGAATGAGTTGGGAAAATCATCACAGAGACCCCCACATTATGGTCACTGCTGGCTTGGATTCCTTTTGAACTGCTGGCCGCTCGAGGGCTGCTTTCCTTTTCCAATAACTTCCCATGTTGCTTGGCTTTTAAACTCATCCTTTAGCAACCCAAAGCTGAGAAACCCCTTTGGGATGATGTGCAAAGTTTATTATATGGGAAGGAAAGCAGATTAAATGCTAACAGTGCAGCCCAGCACCTTCCTGAAATGTTACAAACATTGTCCTTGCTTTCTGGTCTTGCAGCCCAAAACCCCCATCCAGGAAGCCCCAAATCTGCAGTTGCAAACTCCCCCTCCCCATACCCCACTGATGGAGGGAGCGAGCAGATTGCATACCTTCAATGGGTTTGGGTACAAAATGTGATGAGGGTTTGGTTTTTTTCACTCGGTTTCCCTTCATAATTTGACCTTCTTTATTGAGTCCCAGGAACCACGCTCGGCCGGATTCTTGCTGCCGGTACAGCGTGGAAGAATAAATAACGTAGTAGTTTTCAAAGACAGATTCCTTAAATTTGCACTCTGGTGTGAAAACATCCTGCAGTGAGAGAGAGAGAAGACAAAACAATGGAAGGAATTAATCACTGATCTCCTAAATTAGGCATCGCTGAGTGATACACGATGGTCACGCATTGCAGTTAGTTTAACAACAGAAAACAACAGGCGTCAGCAATACCAGCTCCCAGCAATAATACACATCTAGAAAACTCCCCACTGAAAGGGACAGCTCTCCTTCCCTGGCAGAGCTGTGGCTTGCAAAACAGCCTACAGTGAATCGGCTTGAAAAATATGCAGAAAAAGTCAGGAATTCGTCAGGATTTAGGCTGAAATACTAAGCAAAAAGAAAAAAAAGAGAGCTGAGAAGCAAAGAGACAGCCTTGCTGCTCATCTGCTGTTCCCAAAGCCTTCCCCTGGCTTTGCTCTTACCTTCCCTGTGATGGGCAAGAAATGTGCAATGGTCGTTGTCTAAAACATTGAGGTTTCTTCAAATTCTCATCGGCAAAAGGCAGTTTATCAGGGGCATTTAAGTGGATTCAGAGAAACGGGAGTACAAAAACAAGTAAACAATTTATTTATTTTCAAAAGCGACGGGAGGAAATGCTGGCACAAAGCCTGGAAATCTTTCTATAAAGAGAAAGAGGTAATTTTAAAGATTTCTGACACAAGTATTTCTTCAGATACTGAGAACTAGTCCCATACCTGCCCAGGAACAGAGGACGCATGGGTCTGTCCGAGACATCCCCTGAGCCTGTGCCGGCTGTGGGGGTGGCTGTGCCTTTGCCACTTGTGCTGGCTTTGCATAAAGTCTCAAGGAGGAAACTACACTCAGCTATGGACCAAAACCTATGTCCCAGTAACTTTTCAAGACTTTTAAAAACAGGGAAATATTAAACCTCTTTTAAAAGAGCTGGCTGGCCAGGGGACTCTGTGGCAGTGGGCTCCCAAACCTTCACTGAGGCAGATGTGGTTGTTGGTGGATTGGTTTTTTTCCCAGACTTTGATTTTGAGCAGAAAATTCATCCTGGGCAAACAAATTCTCCCACTGGGTTCCTTAAAACTATGACATTCTTGCAAAAAGAGCTCAAGCCACAATGAATATGCATTTTCTGAAGAAAAACTGTTTTAACAAAAAAAATTCCCTTTTTCTAGGACCCAGACGAGGTATCTCGGAGCCCCGTGAGTGAATGCAGGTGCTGCTACAGGAGAGCGATGCTCTCTCCCAAGCCCTTGCCACTCAGAAGTCTTCGGGAGTTTCTCCAACCTTGCTAATGGAAAACCCATGACCAACACTTAAGCCAAGCATCTGGAGTAATGCCAGATATTTACTGCAGACCTCATTTAAGAGTCAGTATTTTGAACATTCAGCAACACTGAGGTATGTATTCCCAAGCACTTTGGGGATTATATAAAGTGTTGCTGGTCTGACAATAAATCCAGCGTGCAACAGACCTACGGAGCCAGGCAGGCTTGAAGCCACAGAAGATAAAGCGCAGCAGAAAGTGCGGAGCTGTGCTGCACACGTGAAGTTTGCATCAAACATTAGCGCCACACAGATAAAAACACCATCAGCCCAACGGGTCATTTTGCCCTATCTGAAGGAGTCTTCCTTGCTGGAGAAATAAATATTTTAGGAAGAGAGTGAAACAAGTTAAGAGAGATCTCGATGACTTAGAGCACTATAAAATAGTGTTTGAAGTAGCTTCCCAAAAGATCAGTGTTTAAGCGCTTCTTACATCTGCCCTTTATCTCCAGGCTTTGTCTTGCCTCGGAAGACGCAGCTCACCAGGGCGCCGGGCAGTTTGCAGCGCCTGCCTGCGACCGGCTGGCCCGGGGGCTCTCCTTGGCATCGGGCCCAGCCAGCAGCAAACCCCGCGATGGAGAGCGCCTCTAAAACCACACCAGACAACCCAATCCCCTTTCCCATGCCTTGGATACTCCATCAATAAAAACTTATTGAAAACATTCCCCTTAGGAGGACGGAAAACTTGGTAGGCTGTGAGGGGTAGCTACCAACTTGTCCAAAACGTGGAATTTATTGTGCATGACATATGTGGATTTTCAACGTCTGTTTTAATTTCAGCGTGGAACAAAGACTTTTTTTTTATTTTCAATGAAGCAGAAATATAAAAGGTAATGCATTTTGAAAATGTTGTTTCATAAAGAAAAAAAATTCAGATTTTTTTAAAAACTCATTTAAATTCAAGTTTTCAGGTAAATATCTATTTTTAAATTACTGCAGTATAATATTTGACGACATGCAGCAGTAGTTCATAAAAGCAGATGCCGTATCGTATATCCACTTGTACCGATAAAGCAACAAAATTATGTTATATTAAAGCAGATGTATTTAAAGACATCAACTTAACAAAGATTTAAGAAAAATAAAGAAAAAATAGTGATTTCCTTTAAATGTTTAAGCTCCCCCACAAGCAAACAAAACTGTCCCATTGTTTTTGTGAGTTGGCTGGTTGATTCCTCATCCCCCACAATTCAGCTGAAATAGCACTTCAGGACACTAACCATGGCAACACCACCAAGAAACATCCCAGCTCTGTCCATTCGGCAGTTTAGAAAACCCACAGATTTGACAGCTAAGTGCTAGCTGTCAATCATATTAAATAATGCCATTTTTATTCATTCTTCTTCTTCTTCTTCTTCCTATGTATATCACCTTATCAGCAACAGCTAGTGTCCCGCTGTGCCACGTAGGGACAAACGCACACCAGGATGCAATTCACCCTACCACCAAATTGACATGCCGCAGGGTCTTCACAGGTTTGAGCACCAGAAATCTTTGGTGCGGGCACTACCACGTGCAGACGTGACACAGAGAGCAAGCAGGTGGAGAATGAAGAACCAGTTGACCAGAAAGGAGATGGGCCAGACAAGCAGGACACAGGCCACTCTCCCAAGCACCGCCTGGGGATATTTGCTGTGTCCTCTAAATCTATTTAACATGCAAACCATTATGTTTTTCTTCATTGATATCTTCTTGGTAGCTGACGTCAAGCCTTCAGCTACATCGTGTCACTTAGCTTCTGCACGTGCCTCTTGCAGATGGCCTTGGGGCTACCAGTAACAAACGGCTACTGGGATATTAATGGCAGAACCTCTCTACAAGCTCTACTGTCAAAATTAATTGTGGCAATTATGTCGAATCAGGTGGGAACTGCTGTTTCAGTTGTGTTGGGCTGAGAAGAGCTGGGAAGAAAGAGGAAAGTGCAGGTCAGCTTAACAGGCTTCACACTAATAAAGCAGTTCTTAGCAGCCACTGCTGCACAGACTGAAATCTGAGATAACTGAAGGTATTTTTGGAAAGTCACTGAGCTATCGGCCAGACCTCTGGGGCATGCAAGCTTTTTTGTTTGTTTGTTTTGTTTTATAAGATGAATGCACAGTGTTGATGAAATGTGCTAGATGGGCAGACCTGGAGTCCAATACTTTCTCTTCATCCCCCAGATACAGAGTGGGTAAAAACAGCAAAGGGAGCCTCAGGCTGTGTCCCCCACATGCTTCTTACGGGACGTAAGGACATCCTCCTCCAGAGGTAATGGTATGGTAAGCCCTGCGGTCAAGAGCAGCCACTTCACACTCTCATTTTGTGCAGGGACCTTTTGAAACAGGCTTATAATGAACCCCACTCAATTATTTTCCCAACTCTCTCCTTGACGGAAATAGCATGACCAGGTACAAGACAGTGAGAGGACAGATGGCTTCATCTTTTAATCACCGGACTTTTTTCAGTCTTTAAACAAAGAAATAAATCGTGACTCTATTTTCTGTACAAACTCCATAGAGCTCTCGGTCCCCTGTCAGTACCATCGTGAACTCAGCTCACTCAGAAAACCCACCAGTTCTCCTCATTAAAAAGCATGCTTGTGAATTGGAGAAAAAAAAGGAAATTTGTCTGTTTTTATCTTCATGTGAAATACGTGTCTTTGACTAAATTATTTTTGCATACAAAGTAAATAAATACATTTATTTGTTTACTATTTGGAGATTTAGAGCCTGAGCTATTTTGTTAAATGTCTATAGATATTAATGAAAGTGGTTTGAAAAAGCAGATCTTTTTTTTTTTCAGTTGTTAAACTAAAAACCTGCATGAAATATTTGTAAAAGAAATGTTAGTAATCTACATGCAAAATGATTGTCTGCCTGCAACTGTAGCTCAATCCAATCCTTTGAACAAAAAGCAATTCCAGTAAGAAGAGTAATTCGATTTGCTTTGAAAAACATAGGTCTGGTTTGTGCTAACTCTAGTTTTATTGGAAATTGCACAGTCTAGAAAAAAATAAAATGGTAGCTATCACACAGAAAATTAGGGAGACCACATTAAATGACACTTGGAATCGAAGAAGGGAGCTAAATGGATGCAACTGCCATTTGGGGGGGATCAGTGTGGCAGACCTGCTCAGGGAGGGTATAAGGTACCATGGATTGCCCCAAAAGCTATTTCTGGTTTAGAAAAACAAGACGTTTCATTTATCCTTGATCCCAGTACTGCCTCCTGCCATCTGTAGATGGAAATGTGGATGGGACTTCCAGGCACAAGCCAATCTCTGTATGACCTGGGCCAGTCTGGTCCTTCAGGGAGGTGCTGGGAATGTCTGGCCCCATCTCCTCCCGCCCCCGCAGCACAGGCTGGGGGTGATTTGTGAGAGGACGTATTTTTTTTTCTAATCTACCTCAGCTTTTACCTGCCCTGGTTAGGTAAATATAACCCAGCCTCTTGGCCTTGAACATAATAAATTTGATTGGACTCTCCTTTGCACTTCTGTAAAGCTGGAGAAGCTCCACAGACGTCGGTGGAGAAGCATCGCTGTCAAACCTGTGGACGTGAGGCTGCAGGGCGTTCAAGGGAACGCACTGCCACCCTCGGCTGTCTCAGCTCCTTCAAAAAATGCCGATCCAATGGTGTCACAGCCCCGGTGCGGGCATAGCGCTGCCAGGGCAGTGGACAGCCCTGGTGCTGCTCCGAGCAAAAGAGAGCAGTGCCAGCCCCTGCCCGTACCAGGCTGGGAGCATCACTGCCACTGG